AAGAACCGGCTGGGGTGGTTCACAGAAACTCTTCATTTCCGGACGCACCTCCCTTCTTAGCCATAGAGATGCGTCATCGACCTTAGCAGGGACACTAAGTTTTGAGGCCCTTTCCTCGGCTGGGTACTGCTGCCTACGGCCCCTAGTGTTTCCTGCTGCCATTTATGTTACCAAATCTGCATCTACGACATGCTCGGTCATGGGAACAAGGCAGACGACGTGAAAAGTTTCAAAACTCCAACTAACAGGGGAAACTATGAAGAGAAGCCTTCAGAAAAGACATGAATCTCCCCATTCGTACTTTTCTCGCTAATTTGTCCTTTTAGCCAGCGGCAACGACATGGCTCTGCTGCCCTTCGAAAACCGATGTATTCGGCTTCTGAAGAAGACATGGGTTTCGGTTCGTTTGACTATAATGATATGGTCGATGCTGTTGCTCTTCGTCGTTACAACACCGCCCAGTTGAGCAGGAGCAGCGAGGAGAACAGCATTTCAACACCGGTTCGTTCATTTACGGGTTTCCATCGTTAATGTGTCGACCGTAGGCGGATGCGGGCGGAGATGAAGTGAAAAGTGGCGCCACTTTCCGAGCGCACGGTCCGAGTTTCAAAGCTGAGTGCAGATCGAATTTTGCCCAACTCAATTGAGCCCTCCATCTTTCTCGGCTCAGTCAACTGGTACCACAATTGGCTGGTAGTAAAGAAAATAATGAATTGGACGCTATCGCAATATACGGGGACATGCTCTACGACTGAAGCAGGAGAGGCAGGAGTTTCGGGGAAGAAACCATTCGCGCACCCTAGAACTTTCCCCCCTGTCCAAGGCTTAGTCCCGTTTTTAACAAAAAAAATGTTTCAAGCAGCCTCAAATGCATTGCCACCACAATGCCCCCTATCTTGCGATAGTGCCGTGATTTTTGTTTTATACTGACCCCCGCAAGACTAAATGCACGGGTGGTTTTACTTTCCAATGAAAGTACGATTCTGAATGGAAGTGGAACGCGCGGCGAGCCTCAAGAGGCCTTGACAACGCTGGAAGCCTTTCACTTTACCTTCGACGTGTGCAACTCACAAATCAAGTCGTTTACAGAGCGTGTCTGAAATCTCGTTGCAACGTGGCTTTTCAATTCACGTAACGGTCCCGTCCGCAGGCAATGGTGTGGAACACAAAGTGCTCGTCGCAATGGTACGTTCCTTGATTCCTGATTGCCTCACCCTCATGAAGCTGGAGGCCCTCAAAGTCATAATGTGCTTTAGTTCGATCTCACGTGCTCCTTCACCCACGAGTGCGTGCCCTCACGCAGTACATCTGCTTATCTATCAGCTGTGATCACCAACACCACTCCCTTCCCGTTCCCTCCGGGAGATGCTGCCGTATATCTGAATAATGGATTTGTCACCAAGGTACGCCTTCTTGCCAAAATTGCGCCCTCAAGCTTCAATTTTAGCTAGAGCGTACATGACCATAGTCATTTCAGGCTCATCTACGAACGGTACCGCCTGGTGATGAGTTCCGTTGTTCACTTGGAGTCGATCCATCCATCAAAATCGAATACAAGACTCCAACTGTCAGCCAGGAACAGGTAGCTAATAGAATTTCAAAAACAGTACTTGGGTTCCAAACAGCACTAGGATAAAATTATTGTGCTAATCCTCAACTTGTTGACGACAGCGTGATGCGGTCGCGCGTCCCGCTTGACAGGCAACGTGGGACACTGTGACGCGGTTGCGCGTCTCACCCATTTCGTCCTTTTTTGGCCACTTACGCGGCTACTTCAAATTGTTTGCATTTCTTCTACAAATCGCAGTAACATTGAAAGCATGTAAAAAAGTAAGGGCAAGAGTAGGAAAGCACAAATTCTCTTTTTCTCTGCCATTAGACTTCCTTCTGATCGAAATTCTAACACTATATCCCGAAATTCTACCACTATACCCCGAATAATTCTAAGCATTAAACCTGGTTAAAATTTGCTCCTGTCACTCGGGCCTTGTATATTTATCACCTAAAACACGCGTATGTGAAGTAAGTTGTTCGCGCCAGTCTCACGCGGCCAAAAACGTCATAACCCAAGCTTTCGTCAGTGTGCTAGGAACAGATTAAAATATTAGGTTGGAAAGAAAGTCCTGCAACACTTTTTCAAATTTTTGATTTTAATTTTATCTTTTTTGTTTACAACTCCTGACCGGTCTTATATCTACCATGAGTGTCCACCACTTGTCTTCAACGCTCAGAAAATTTCTTGATGCTCCTTTGCCAAAACCCAGCGGAGTGCGGGTCGAGAAAGGAGGCGACCTCACTTTCGAGTTGGAGTTGATCGTCTAATTATTTCGTCATCAAGATGATGATTTAAGGTCCAGGATAGGTGGCAGTCATTTATAGCTCGACCAGGGGAATACGCTAAGAGAGGTAAGAAATCTTGCCGCAGCTCCAGAATTTCTTACCGGGCTCATTTCGGATCATGGTGATTCGCAATGTCATGAAAGAAATGAATATTGTCGCGGTACGAGGGCTCCTGACGAGCTGCCTCGGCCAGCTTCTGGATAACGTAAGAATTTTACAGCGCACTTGCCCGGAAAGCGAGAGGTGCGGTTCTAGTCCCGCCTGGGGCGAAAGTTTTGTTCACAACCCAGCATTCTTGTGAAACATTCGCAAGGCGAACTGCGGCCAAAAACAGCAGTTAACAAACAAAAAAAACAAGTCAAAATTTTATAGTTGAGCTTAAGTGATAGTCAAGAGCCCTTCCTGTAATGGAGTGTGTAGGACGCTGCTGGCTTCTTATAAAAATATCAAAAGATCGAAAGCGCTGGTAAAGGTGAAACACGCTGTAGCGGTGAACGACATGCCTATTGAAGCTATTGCAGATAGTGTCGGTCTTGACACGAATCCATAGTTATGGAGACACTTGTACTATACACTGACTCGGAGTATGGGTTCACCAGTTGGTCAGGGATTTTTTGAATTTTCTTGGATAACTACTGAACTGCAGCACTTATATCCACCTCGTGGATCAAAGCCTCGAGAACGCCTACCACGGGCGGTATCCCCCCCAGGGAATATATCCCCCTACTCTGATTCAATCCTCTGGGGGGACAAAAAAAGGGTTGCGTCATAGGACCTAGCATACCTCTGTGTTTCTACCTGCCAGACAGTTAGAGCAGCGCGACCCCTCAGGGGAAAGAGTGCTTCATCAGTGGAGGGTAGTAGCGCTGCTCTAACTGTCTGGCAGGTAGAAACACAGAGGTATGCTAGGTCCTATGACGCAACCCTTTTTTGTCCCCCCAGAGGATTGAATCAGAGGAGGGGGATATATCCCCCTGGGGGAAGGATTGAATACCGCCCCTGTTTAGTTAATAGAAATGATACCTACGATTTTTTTCAGAAAAAAAGAATTTTAATAAGAGGTGTGCAGGAACTTTATGTTCCAACCTAATGCTCTTCAACTGTCACTACTGTGGCACTCATGAGATGGAATACACCACGCATAATTTGTACCCAAAAAAGAACAACTTGCTTGGCAATCGGTACAATAGGTAGAATGAGTAGAGAGGAGATCAAGTAATAGAACACGTCGGAATGTCGTTGAGAACCATTGCGCGACCAGTGACAACAGACAAGTTCGCCATGGGTGGCAAATGGTTCCACTCCGGTGGCACTTCAAGAAACTACTGTAGTAGCTGAACACTGAGTCGAACAATTGGGGAAATACGTCTTCTTCAAGTGCTACTTTTTTGTTGGACTTCCGAAATGAGATGTGCAAAATGTACTGTGCGTCCTCGTCAGTTAGTGAAAAACAGACGGATCTTCATGAAACTTCATTTCTGCAATGAGAACGCCTTTTTCAGTAATGTTCTTGCCACACCAAAGCCATTTTACACTAGTTCCGGCTATTCGGTTAGGAAGAGAACACCCAATTTTGTTAATGGCTGCTTCTGTGCCGAACAGGTTTGTATGGTGGAATATTTATCTGACCTAGAAGTTTGACAAATTCTTTTTCAAACGACTCAACTCCACCAGCGCCGATGGCTTGCTCAGCCTCCCTCAGTACTAAATTATATATATATTTATACCAGTTTGGCTGCGCACGCATTCGCGTGCATGAGACGGGGCTCAGCGGTAAAATCGGGCCCATCAGTATTTTTGTCTTGATTTTAGCTTTCTGCTCGGTACATCTTACTTACGCCGCAAACTCCGCCCACATCCGGGTGTGCCACGCCCAGCGTTCACATTCAACCTCTACTCCTACTTTCACCTCTGGCGTATTTTTTTCAGGTCTCTAAGTCATCTCGGAGCCGAATTATGAGGTCTTGTAAATGGCGTTATGAGTCACGAATTTCTGAGGCAGACCCCGCCCACTTTGGTGCATGGTTAGCCCAACAATGGCATTCAACCCTACTCCATACCTCAATACTTATGCACATTTTCCCCGGTCGCCGGAACTTCTAGGAACCGAGTTATGAGAGCGGTGGCAAACTCCGCCCACATCCGGGTGTGCCACGCCCAGCGTTCACATTCAACCTCTACTCCTACTTTCACCTCTGGCGTATTTTTTTCAGGTCTCTAAGTCATCTCGGAGCAGAATTATGAGGTCTTGTAGGGGACGAAATCGAGCTACGTATCTTTGTGGCAAACCCCGCCCACTTTGGTGCGTGGGTCGCCCACTGATATCAGTCGGCTATCATCTCTTCCCCAACCTTTTTCTACTTTTCTCCCATCTCTGGAACTTATTGGAACCGAGTTATGAAGTACCGTGGCAAACCCCGCCCACTTTGGTGCATGCTCCGCCCGCCAACAACGGTTGACCCCTTTCCCTCTGCCAACCCTCATACGCTTTTTTCCCGGACTCCGGGACTCCTAGGAACCGAGTTATAAGCCTAATTGCAAACTCCGCCCACTTTGATGTAAGCCACGCCCATTCCCTGACATTTAGCTTCCCCTCCCCTCCTGACCTCTATCCGTTGTTTTCCGGTCTCTAAGTCATCTCGGAGCCGATTTATGAGCTCTTGTAGAAAATGCTGTCCGCTTCACGACACGCTCCGCCCATTGTGGGCGGGCCTCCGTTCACATCATGCGTGGTGGAAATACCTTAGGCATTGCTCCCCTGCACTAATTTCGTTCCTGGTCTGTAGGCTTCCTCTTAACCGAGTTATGAATATTTTCACTGAGCACCCATTTTCTAGAGAACGCCCCGCCCACCGAGGGTGGGTCTCCTCAGTTCGATCTGGCTTACCAACCCACACCTATGCCCACTTTTTGTCCCGGTCTCGAGGCTGTTTTGTGACTGAATTTGAAATCAACCGATGCACGCCACGCCCACTGTGGGCGGGGCTCCGCTTGGCTGATGTGTGTTTTTTACTTCTAGGGATATGGTATACCCATCCCAAACTTGACCTGGACCCTGTAGGTTGTTGTTCGCTTGATACCGAATTTCGTGACAGACACACAGACAGACAGACAGACAGACGAAGCGCTTTATAGTTAGTAGGATGTGCAACTAGGACCCTCCTCTCACCAGCATTCGAAAGCTCCGGCAGGGTCAACCGTTACGTTGGACCGATATTGGAGCGACGTTGGACCGATGTTCACCGCTCTCCGCGCCGGCATTCACTCTCGCCACCCGCGAGCCGTCTGTGTCTCCGTGCGTACGTTCACTCTCGGCATTACTCTCGTCGTCGCGTTGGACTTTGTCCAACGGACGGTTGACCCTGCTCCATCGGAGACCTAACCTGAGCATCGCACTTGCACCGTGTTCTCCGTGTTGAACTTAACATGGAATTTTCAATCTAAAGTTGGGAGCATTGAAAATCTACCAAAGTGTGTTAGTTCCGTTTTGCATAAAGAGAGAGGGTGAACTTTCTTGATCCTTTCCTCGTATATGGTCCCTCACCACGGAGTGCACACCTGACGCAGATAGGCTGAATCCATGAATCAACGGAATGCAGGGACCCTCTGATAACCGAGTTTCGACCAGCATTCCAATTCCCGTAATTCCCAAAACGTCCAGAAACAACTGCATGATCACAATTCGCATCGAAGGATGCGTACTTGCCAGTTCTAACCAGGAAGGTCTTTCAGGGCGTGACGAGCTTTTTGAAAACGGTCTTTTGCATGATATAGGGGCAGATGCGGGACCACAGAACCATGTTTAATTTTTCCTGAACGGCCCTCTGAATACCAGAAAAGGGGGTCCCTAGTTCGATTCCTCTTGGTGACAAATTTTTGCATTTCGAGTTGACGTTCCAAAATTCGCGCAAAATGGAGTTCTGATTGTTCTGGTTGGTTCTAACTCCATTTTGCGCGAATTTTGGCACGTCAACTCGAAATGCAAAAATTTGTTACCACGAGGAATCGAACTAGGGACCTCCTTTTCTGGTATTCAGAGGGCCGTTCAGGAAAAATTGAACATGGTTCTGTGGTTCCCGCATCTGCCCCTATATCATGCAAAAGACCGTTTTCAAAAAGCTTGTCACGCCCTGAAAGACCTTCCTGGTAAGCTCTGTGCAGATGTGCTTAGCCATGATGCACATGGGCGTCGAAATAATGTATAACATCACCCTGGAATCTTAACTTGCAGGTTGGCTTCATGTCAAAAAGCACACTGCTTACACACGAGCAGATTGTCTCGCTTCGGAACGCGCCAAGGCTATGCAGTCAGTTCAGGTTACTGTAAGAGACCAAATACCGAAGTCAGCTGATGAGAAAATCAAGGTAAATTTGATTATATTCGTAGAAACCGTATGATTTATCATGAAAGTGTTGGCTTTGCAGGTGGCCATCGTTGCTCCTGACATTCGTGCCAAAAATGGTGAAGCGAAATTGAACAAGGACCACCAATTTGGAATGGACAGTCGTCTTGGTGCCAGGCCAACAGAAGGATCTTCACATCAAATACACTGTCGAACATCCGGCGTCAGAATCGCTCTCATTCAAACTTGCAGTGCAATAATTATAGATAGTGGTTTGTGTTTAGCAGTAGAATATTTCGCATATTCCCGGTGAGCTGTGTAAACAGTTCACATGCCACATTTCCACCGCCTCTTAAAAAATCTCTCTGTCATATCACATCACCCAACGCCTTCTAGAGTTTGTTTGATGTATCTTCATCCTATATCCGCATACCCATTCATTAAGTAACCGTCCATCTTGTAATGGAATGCTTATTTATCTACCAATTTTTTCCCTTCATACACTTAAACGAAATGTGAGGCTGCACCACTGGGAGCTTCAAGGCTTAGCTTATTTCAGCGAAAACTAGCTTTCTTTCCTTAAGTGCCTTCTTATCAAGCCTGTCATACAAAGAACACCCAAAAAAATAGTTCTGTGCCATAAAGTTCCAATCACACTCTGACTGACGCAACGTGAACGGCGCACGCTTGACCGTGTCGGACTTTGCAGGGTACCAAAAAGGAGGCTCGTCGCACAGCAAAGCAGATTAGCGGAATAGTCGCAGTGATGTACGATTTCGGACGTACAATTCTGCATTCTATTTAAATTGACGCAAAGTACTACAGTAACCGACGCGCTGATATCTTTCTCGCCTGACTTGACCCTCTTACCGCGTGACGCGACCCTATCTGCGGGATCCGATTTGCGAAGCACAATAGATGCTCCTAGAGATTCGAGTGGGAAAGTAACGAGAGTGAACCACGCTAGCGGATCCACTTGCCACTTCTTACACATTGTGAATCCACCGAATCCGAAACCGCTGAATGCACGCGCTGGCGAACCGCTGAAGCACCGCTCGGATCGGTGCCACATCGTTCTAACCGTTGCCGGTACCCGACAAGAGGTCTGTTGCGCGGCGAGAAGGCAGAGGCGCAGACGGGTCAGCGGAGCGTACTGCAGTGATTCCTTGCTAAGTTGTATAATGGACTATAATAGTCCTAGATCACAGAGAACACGCTGCTACACGTCCGTTAGCCCGTCTACGTCTCTGCCTTCTCACCGCGAGACGAGCCTCTTGTCGGGTACCCAACCGCTGCCGTATCGCTCGAACTGCTGGTGCATCACCCGTACCGCGAGATTGGCTGGATTCGCAAAATTTGACACCGGTTTTTTAGGGATGCGGAAAATGTGTACATGATACGAGTTTATTACGGCGTTTGCCAATTGAATATTTGAAGCTGTGATCCCCCTCTGCATAGCGCCCAGATCCATCCCAGAAACCTTCTTTTTATACACACAGCATTTATTTTTTTAATGCATTCCAAATCTTCGGCACTTCAGCTCACCATATTTTCGCTGGATGAAGTTTCGGTCGAAACGGGGAAGGGGCGTAGAAATGGGGTCCTCTGTAAAATCGGGACTCTGTCGCTGACCGCGCGCGGCCGAACGCGGCAAATTTGTGCGGCTTTTAGAAACATCCAATTGGCTCAAAATTTCTTGGCTAGAAGAATAACTACTTGTGGGGCGCGGTTTACCCTAATGATGCATACTATTCCGGTGCAGAGGTCGCTAACAGGCTGACCGTGAGATCATGGAAAGTGATTTTCTGACAAACCCAGTCCAAGAGATCGTGATGGTCGTGTGAAAGTGGACGCTTCGAAGCACCGTAGATGGTTCAATGGTTCAGAATTTCTGAGCAGTGCTATCAATTTTTTTTGTGCTGCCTATTTTTCTTATTATGAAAAAATCCCTAAAATATGAATGGAAAATTGGAAAACACTTCTTACATATCTCTTATTGTTTCCTGTTCAGTAAATACCGTTACCAAAGCAGTAGGTTGATACCATGACACCGCATTTATTTATACAGAGACTTCTTAACCTGCTTGATGTGTCCCTTTGCCTTGATCATATGTTTGTAGAAATATTGTTCAATATTGATCTAATGAAGAATAAAGCATTAAAATCCAAGCGATTCGCATAGCATATCCGAGAAGACCACACACGATGCCCAGATTGCATCGAACTCGAGATTACACTTCATCGGATACCAATCTACTGCAAAACCTCCACTCAGTAATAATTGCTCATCCCATGTCAGCGAGTTTCTCCGTATGCTAAGCTTGGCCTCAAATAAAAAGGGGCACATCGTTGCAGAATATAGCACCCTGTTCTGCCGTATACAGTCCATATCCGGCAGACAGGGTGGGCGGGGCCATAGACGTGATTGCGGACTACACAAACTTGATAGTTGTCGCAGCGATCAGCTGATTTATATTCGTTGATTTCTACTATTATTCGGATGTTCTGCTGTATTTCGTTATTCTATGCTATACTTCGCTTTTTATACAAGACAGGTAGCTTAAGTGCTACCTACAAGTCCAGGCTGACACGTCCGCCCTTTTTGAACAAAAATGTATTCAGTGGGACTGCTGCTCGCTACTATACTGTTACGAGAATTGGTGAGCCAGGGGGAGTGTAGCCAATCTAGGGGGGTGGGGGTGAGGGCAGTCACCTTGACATGCGTGAAAAGCTGGTGTGCCCACCCCACTTGTATAGCATTCTTTATATCAACAGTAACAACATGAAAAAAAAACCACAGAATTTAACCACTCCTTGATGTGTCGGAACCAAACACACGATCTCTTACGTGGAAGTCACATTCTCATCAACACCCTTGTTATCACTTGCGCTTATTGATCTGTGCCATGTCAGCGTCTAGGTATGTTCTTCATAAACGATTTTTTCTGGTTTGAACTTTTTTCTTGACGATCTTTGCTACAGATTGGGCGGAAAGTGAAAAAAGACTGGTCCCAATTTTAATTAGCATCCTTCAGACCGTCATCAGTCAAGGCATGGCCTGCTATATGTGGTCCCAATCCATTCATAGTCAAGCTAACAGTGATGCTTGTTTACATCAGCAGCACCTGAAAGTTGATTAGATTTCTTTCTTTTGAGCACAACGAATGGCCTCGCAATCGATTGTAAGTTTCATAGAAGGCACGATGACTCAATAATAAGTGTGGGTGGTGGCATAGTGCAAAAATCTGGGTGCAAAAATATGACGCAAGATTTATCAATAGTGGAGTGTGCAAAAGAAACAAAAAGCTCAAGAATCCATGCCATGGGTCACTTTGGTTCCACCCCTTTTCTACGCAGTAGCCGTCTCAGTGAACCGAGGCATTTCTTAGGAACTCGCTTTTCTCTTAAAATTCATTTCGTTTATTTTATACATTGTTTTCCGTGATCAGGCACGACATGCTTGTGCCAGGGGAAAAAAAACCAGTTTCTCGCCCACAATGCCTTGGAAGGTGGATTATACAATAAAAAAGCAGCCCATTGGAAGTTAAGTTAGGGGTGGCCAGTGATGCACGAAAGAGGAAAAAGTCGAGGAATTAGCCCAAAACCCAAGAAATGGAACCCCTTGCAGCTCACCGGTTTGCGCATTGATGCGTCTCTCATCGGCGCTGCCTTCTTCGACCCCAACGCCCTCACTTCTGAACGGCTGGAGACGCAGACACAAGGCGAAGCGAGAGGCGGGCGCACTGGGCCAGTAGTGCACCAATTGGTGCGCCGGGAATGCCATGCTAGGTCGCGGGGGCATATCCTTCGATGCAAGTTGTGTGTTAATCGGCAAACTTATTAGGTGCACTTGTCTCTTTGCTAGGTAAGTTCCCCTATTTCAACTTTTGTCCTTAGCGTAGAATCCTCCTTCAAACGGAATCTCTATTGAGCGCTCCCATGGGTGTGCAACATTAAATGAAAACTAGTCACGGCTCCGTACGGAGGAAACGTTCGAGAGTCACCTGCGTTGTCATCATTTCAATTCTCCTTTATCTGGGGTGTGTGTCAGGAGATACCGGTGGCGACGGCGCACTGAAACGTGCCATACGTCGGTCCACGGGGTGTGTTCTTCAGTACTAATTCGTTGTTTTCAGTGAATGTACGTCTCGAAGATGGAGTCCTTCTCATCGGAATCAATCGACCTGGCAAGAGGAATTGTGTAAATCAGGAAACAGCAAACTGCTGACTAAGGCAGTGGAACGCCTAAACTCTGATCCTTTGGTGAAAATCGGGATTCTCTACGGCGAAGGTTGGGTTCTATTGTAATTTTGCATTTTGCTTTAGTTTTTGATGATATTGAAATCCCACAGATAATAGCGCTGTTATTATTGTGAAAAGAAACCCCCTTTTTTATTCTCCGCCTTTTTGCTCTAGCAAGGTTTTCGGTTTTTCTACTCAGCCCATTTCAGTTCATTTTCGTCCTCAAAGCAAAATATATAGGGGAAAAGTCAAGAGCAATTATTCCGTGGAATGGTCAACTTCTGATGGACTTATCGTTTGTAGCCAGGTGCGTGTCCACTGCAGACTTCACAACACAACTGACGGCGCCCTCCGCAAAATGTAAATTTAGTTTTCTGCCCATAAAAATGCTAATCGATTACAGTTGTATTCTATTCGCTGTCATCAATTACAGCAAATCATTAATCAACCATCACCTGTCACCACGAAGTGCCAGCTATCAGATTAACTCGAAGGTCGTCGTCAGTTGTGTTGTGGGGTCTGTAGTGCGGACTTCTCCGGCTGCCGGATACGAAGGATATGTCTTCTTTCTCGACCGCTATTCGTCCCGGGCACGCCAGAAACGCAGGTCGCACATCTTCCAAGCCGCTCTGCTTCGGGCTCTTCTGCGCCACAGGTGGCCGTATAAGTTTACGAAGGGGTCAGCCCGTCGGGAGGGGGTCTGCCTCTGGGCCTGGTAGGGTATGTAAAGGGCATGTATTCGGTTTTGGGGTAAAATGTTCTTATCTAGCTGTTACTCACACAACTCTGAAGCAATTAATTCTCCTGAGAAAATACCGAGGGATGTAGAACAGAACAAATCTGCAGAACAAATCTACTGTCGCCTTTCAGGAGAACACTTTTGTGCTGGCTATGATCTATCCGAGGTCAGCGAATTCGAACGCATAAGAATGGATGCACCCTCATCGCAAGCATTCCGCTATATGGTACGCAACAATTTTACAATCTGAA